TAAATGATGCTGTGCTTAAGCGCCTTTGATTTCTTTATGTGGGTTTGTGATTCGGTGTATGTTCATGCGGTCATAATAGACGACCGTCAATTTGGCTTGGCATAAGCAAACCCGACATAAGAAGCGCAGATAAAAAGTCAAACGAGAAGTAATAAATAAGCGCACAGCGACAAATATAAAACATGGAAAATTGCTACACCAACAGAGAGGAAAATCAATTGGCATTAACACCGCCGACAGTGCGTATAGTTACTGCGTAACATTCTGTTGTTTGCTTTCTTTCTGCCAGTGTGTGGTCGCAGTAGGCAGCAACGTACTATCTATCCATTGGTAGGTGGTAAACCTTCATTAACCAAAACATCTTGCTTTGAACGGTTCGTAGGCGGAAAAGTTGAAAAAGTGCGTTGGCGTGTCCGATGACAGTAAAATCGGGACGAAACAATAAATAGATTCAATGAATTTTTGTTAGCAGCTGCAGGCCATCAACGTGGTCGAGTGGGCTGTTGCAATTGCAATTGTCGTTTTTGCTTACATTTTGCACTACATTTCACTAGTTGGTTGTTTATCACTTGAATTCATAGCAGAGCAACAGTTTTGTAAAGAGAGGAAGTGCAAATTCACATTTCGACTAGTCAGAAAGCTAAGTGCGCTTTTGGGCTTTCTAGTTGCTTTGATAGAAGCTCGAATGGACTTTAATATTATTATAATTTTTTTTTTCAGCTCACTTAAAATATTAATATCTGCTTGAATGTGTAATCTATATTTTTATTTTTGAAAATATAATATCAAAATTTTGGGAATATTATATTTGATAGCGTAGGTGAAAGGTTTTTTAAAGTGATTCAAGTAGAGGTACTTTTTTCATGTTATTTTTGTTCAGTATTGTATGGCAGCTCATTATGGGACGCAACACCAGCACCCAGCAGACAATTTCACGTTTAAGGCAAGTCGGTTGCGCACCAAGATCATGTGACATCACAACCTTAGACTTTTTCCTGTGAGGATATATAAAGTCCAAAGTCTATGCAGACAATCCTGCTTGGAGTAAGGCCTTGAAGCAAAACATCACTCTTGTCATTTGACAGTTACCAGTCGAAATGTTCAAACGAGTCATCGATAATTGGACTCAACGGATGGACCAACTGAGACGTAGCCGCGGCCAACTTTTGAAAGAGATAATTTTAAAAAAAGAAATTCTAAAGAATGTTCTATCGAATGATAATAAGTGTTACCCATAAGATTTGAAGTTTCTGTATTTTTCCTTTAAAAAAGTAGGAAAACTCGAAATGGAACACCATTTACATTTAGCACGTAAGAAGAGGTCAGGAAGCAGTGATAAATCATGGTAGTTACCAAGATGAAAATTGCGCTTGATTACACAAAATTACGTCCTGTTTCTTGGTTGATGCCAAAAGAGAATATTTTAGGCATCGGATGTAGCAACTTACGGTGTTTTTGGCTAATAAATAGTATTTCTCTCAATATTATTCTGCCATTACATTTGTTATTTTTTAAATATATAGTACATTCCCGCATATGATAAGTGCAGCCTTTAAGGTTATGTTGGCACGTTTCAATATATGAAATCTTAAATTTTTTTTAACTTTTTCCAAAAACCTCAACACTGGCACTTGACAACAAACTGGGTATATTTCCATAATTTTCTTGAGACATTCAACACATTTAAATTTGTGCACACTCTTGCTTCAATGGTTTTTTATATTAGCAACCTCACTTGCACCTGTGGATTGCACCGCAGCAAAAGACCGTTAGAGCAGGAAAGAGGAACAAACATGCAAAAATACACAAATCTTCATGCACACAAACGGAAAACCTCCAAATGTAGCGCACCTCACTGGTAATATATATGTACCTATAGAAATGTGCAAACTGTAGTTGTATAAAGTATGTACATGTGTATGTAGTAACTTGCAGTCTCAAGCAAAAGCTACCACTTGAGCTAACTTTTGCGGAAGAAGCTTTCAAATTGTTCTATTTGTTGTAGGTGACCCGAAAACCGCCTAGCAGCTGTTAGGTCTTGCAAGCCATACAATTTACGATTCAAAGGTGGAAAACATGCGAAAACGACACGTATTCTTGCGCGTTTACACAAACAGTCATATTTGAAATTACGCGTACAAGCGAGCAGAATATTGCATGCGGAATGCACTTCAAGTGAAGCCTTCGCTTGAACAAAAAATTAGATAAAATAAATTTCCGTTGGAACATGAGTGCCATATGCAGTTTGAAAATGAAATTGGCTGCGAGAAAGCAGTATATTAAGTTGTGTATGTATGTGTTAGTTTGTGAATGCATGAACATTGCCTGTAGGAAATATCGAAGAAAGTGTAAATATCGGTCTAAACCTATTTGCTATTGTCTAAGTCAGTGGAAGAATAGTGCCAAGCCGTGGAGAAAATCTTTCAAATCGGAAGATTTATGTTTTTTTGCTCTTATTAAACGAAATATAATTTCATTCTGGCTACTAAATATTCTCGAATTTCCTACACGGCGGAATATTTATAATATGCGAATGATTTTGTACAGTGTCTTACATTTGGTATGCAGAAACGTTGCCGGTCTGATGGTTTAGTGATTCTCGACGATATTCACTACATTTATGAATTTTCTTTGATAACGATTGCTTAGTTTGCATAAAAATAAGTATAAATACACGTGTCATAAGATCAACGAAATTTGGATTCGAATGGAAAGTATCTTTTTGCTTTCGATTGCTGAGGAAGCGGTAGATACAAGTGCATATACTTATCAAATTTGACTCGGACTGCAAATGGAAAAAAGTCTTTATTTTTATTAAATTTCTTCCAAACTGGTGCTAAGCAGTCAGTCAAATCTTTAAAACTCAGGATATCAATCCCGAAACTACAAAATTATTATTTCCAACAAATTTGAACGATAAGAGATAGAACTTAAGTTAACGTCGAATATTTGACCTTTTTATAAGGTGATTCCAAAAATTTTAAATGTTTAAAAGAATTATATCTTCAATATTCATAAATAACAGTAATGAAGCATGTTTATGCATAGGAAACAGTATCTTGGACGTCACCACTGAATTAATGCGCCGCAATCACTTTTCTCGCCCATGACACTCGGAGATGACAGTGCAGGAGCAAATAGAAAAAAAAAAAAAAACAATAAAAATTATGTTTGTATGTGGACATCATGCGTATTCCTGCATAAACCTTTGGCTTTTTAGTATTTCATGAACATTAAAATGACATTAGAAAAATTAAATAACTCTGAAGTATTGGAATACATGTAACATATACTATATGTAGACTTAAATATTTAAGCAGTTTTAAAGTCACATAAAATAAATAATTGTATTATTTTTTTCACATTTGTAAATAAATAAAAATATATGAATATGTTTGTAAATATGGTATATACATACATTCATACATATGTACCTGTCTCTTATACACATCTAGATGTGTATATAAAAGTAGATATACACCCTGCTTTATGACTTATCAATAATGACAAATGCTGAGTATAACTAAAAAATGAATATTTGTGTAAAGATACAAAGAGACATTTTGTTAGAAAGTGATGAAGGTCAAATAAGCAATGACCATTACAAATAAGAGTTCAATTACACTCTCATCTCTTTACTCTCTTCACATGTGTTTTTAAGTGTGTGTTCGCTGAGCACAGACTTTTGCATTACATTGTCATCAAGTTAGCCCAAGGCTAATAACTTTCCACGACCTTCTCTCCACGAAGGATGCAATTGAACAACACGAATGTCAATATTATTTGTATTTCATACAATTTTAATTATTTCCAAGAATAATAATAGTGTAGGTCATAAAAAGGACATTAATTCAATTACGTTGAATAAATATGTTATATATGTACTCAGAATTCATATTATCACCTTTTTAGTATTCCACTTTATACAATTTCTGTGATTTAGCGTCAGTTAAGACCTCCGAAATCCTAATAACGCTACTTTCACAGCAGTCGCTGTTTTTATACAAACATATAATGCACAATATTATTTTCCATAGAGATGCCAAAAAAAAAAAAAAAAAAAAAATTCAAACCGAAAGATAACAATGTTTGGCTTGTACAAATACTTCGGAAACCATTCCACAATATGCACCAGGGGTACATATATAGTATATGAGATAAAAAGATAAATAAAGTTAAATTTTTTGTAAATTTTGATGCTGCCATTTCAGTTTTGGGTATTAGAAACAAAAGAGATTTTACATAATAATTATTATTATTTCATTTAAAATTTTAATTTTTTTTGATTTTAAATTTATTACTTTATTATTATTTTTTAAATTTTATATCTTTGTGGATTTGTTATTTTATTTTTATGGATTTTTTTTTGAAAATCTAAACGATATTTTCAACTTGATTTTCATAAACTGTTAAAGGAATTATTTGAAGCAACTTGGACAGAAAGTGTACAAGCACTGCTTTGGAGCTATCAAACCTTTACATAATTGTGCGAAATTCTCTGAGTTAATCCCTAGTTCCTAAAACATGTTCATTCAAAATACTAAGAACTATTCTACTAGCTTTTTTACCGTCTAATTATGTTAATCAGATTATTATGCAATTCATGTGGCGAGTTTATGGCGTTTATGGCTCAGAATCTCTCAACAAAGGCACAATTTAGTGAATAATTCAAAAGCTGGACTAATTACCGAAAGGATTCATAGCTGGAGTTTTTTCATGTAGCATAAAAAGAAAAGAGAATTGAAAGATGAGTAAGAAGATTCCCTCAAAGTTTATTGACAACATTTTTTGGTATACCATTTGATCGCTGATTAGAATATTGTTGTTTTGTTACTTGCCGTTTTTAAACACATTTCAGCATCCTAACAGAATCTTATAGCGAAGTACAATATATTTTATTTGCAATCAATAGCAACTTTCTATCATTGTTATACCAAACAGTTTTCAAGTTTTTAATATATGTATAATAACTTTTATTGGTATCCAATAATATAATATATTATATTATAAATAATTATAGTGCTAATAAATGTTCTTGAATTTGAATATCGTGCTTTCTGCAGAGAAAAGAAAGTTATAGGATACAAATAGTCTATATAATCATTGTGCAGTAATGTGCAATAAAAAGTTTATGCAATGCCAAGAATTACTAAGCTTTTGCAAAATGAAATTAAGATCAGCTATTCAATCTGAGGAGGATCCTGAATCCCTCTGAGATTCATTTGAGCTGGACCCTGAATCACTCTGAGATTCATCTGAGGAGGATCCTGACTCACTCTGAGATTCATCTGAGGAGGACCCTGAATCACTCTGAGATTTACTTGAGCTGGACCCTGACTCGCTATGAGATTTATTTGAGGTGGACACCTTCTGTATGTCATCAAGAGGTCGACGCAAAAGGCGGAA